CTAGTTAGGACACCTTGACTTGCCAAGACATTGCACAGGGCAGAGGAGAAGCACATAACTAAGCATCTTGAAGGATATAGTTGTTTACGATTCAGTCCTGTTACCAAAGACAATGTTCCCTTCCCAATTGCAGATGTTCAGTGGGGGCTGGGAGAAGTCTATGAATGTAGTACTCAGACCCATGGTTCCCTCTGCTTGTTGACCAGCCTTGGGAAATGGACAATACAGAGCCCCCCTGGAATTTTGTATAATTTTAACCCATAAGGCCATGGGGTTAAGGATGCATTCAGCTAAAGTAACAAAGACTATCTTCAGTCACTTAAGCAGAAAAGAAATTGATAGGAAGGTGTTCACAGAACCAAGCAGAAGCAGAGGCCAGACTTGATAAACAAACAATTAACAGTAGCTCTGAAGGGCAATGTCTTTGTTTTCTGTTGCTATAACAACATACCTGAGATTGGCTAATTATTCAGAATAGAAGTTTATTTGGCTCACGCTTGTGAGAAGTCCAAAAGCATGGCACTGGAGTCTGCTTGTCAGTCTGCTGAGGGTCTTTGTGATGCTGGGGCATTACATGGGGAGAGAGAGCAAGCATACCCGTTTGGGTCTCTCTCTTCTTACAAAATCACTAATGCCATCATGGGCCCCAATCTCAGGACCTCATCTAATTTTATTTACCTCTCAAAGGCCCCTCCTCTAAATACCATTAATGTATAAACTTGAGGGTTAAGTTTCCAACACTCGAACCATTGGGGGACACATCTAAACAATAGCATGCACAACAATCTGCCTCTGTCCCACAGCAGTACTGCCTTACTGCTCAGCTGTCCCCACTACTTTGCATCACCTGGTTCCAAATCCTGGGCTGGAGTGGCTGTTGCCTGAGCCTGGTTCCCTGTTGCTGCCCTGGTTGCCAGGTTACAAAGGGATGAATTGACTCATCTGACTTCTGGGTGGGAAATAAGGCACAGTCATGGCCTTCTTAACATGTAATTTGGAGGACAAAACTTGCCCACTCCATCTCCCATCTAATAACAGGGTTGGATGCTGGGTATTCCTAAAGAATATGAGCAATATCTACTATAGTTAGGTGCTAGGTGGGAGCAGCGTGTACTAGAACTCAGATCTACCTGATTCCTAGACTGGAAGAGGGATAAGAGATTAGACCTTATCATTGCTGTCCACTCCAGCTGCCTATAGACTGCAAAACAAATATATAAAACAAATATAGTCTATGTCACTCATGAAGGACTTATCATAAAATAATAATTAAATACAAATAAAACAACAAGGCAAAAATTTTTGAGCTATTATCATGTATCAGAACCTGTGCCAAGCTAAGTTTGTTATGCATTTTAATTCATTTAGTCCTAACAACATTGCCCTGGATTATAAATGGATGTAAGCCTGTGAGCATATCTTCTTTCTCCTGTTAGACTGTATACTTTTGAGGTCAGGGAACATCTTTTATCAGTCACTCTATCCCAGCCACACCACTAGGGAGTTTGATATATTCCAATGCAACTGTTATGAATTGCTGCATTTAACTCTTAGCTCCTCTTTGATGTCTAAACCCTCCTAAATTTACTTATACCGTCTCAAAGACAGAGAGCCTGCCCTCATCTGGTTGTTCCATAGGAAAGTGTGGACATTAATTCCGGAGAGATCTGGGTTTGAAGCCTGATCCTCTGAGTGCTAGCTGAATTCATGACCCTGAGCAGATTTTAGATGAGAGTATCCATGGGTGTCTGTCATTGCTTTTCCTTGATCACTCCCAGGAGTAGTAATATTGCAGACAAGAACATTTAAGAACTGCATATCTAAGTCTGTACATCGGGAGACTAATTAAATGCTTCCTTTGTGAAAGACAATTTAGTGTCATCTGGGGAATTTAGAATCAGATAGGCAATCGGTGAGATCTTGGGTGCTCACAACATGTTGATCCGAGCTCAAATTCTAACTCTCCTTCAGAATAGCTCTGTGACCTCAGGAAAAATCATGTAAACTTTGTATGTAAGAAGAGACAGACCCAAACAGGTATGCTTGCTCTCTCTCCCCATGTAATGCCCTAGGATTTTAAAATGTTAATACAGCCACAAGACTGGGATCCTATTTAGAATAAGATGTACTCCATTTTTTGTATAAATTTGTCAAAATATACTTTTCTGTCATGTAAAACTAAAGAGAACAAATAAAAAATTCAAAAAATTATAGAACTTTTATAATAAGAATGTGTAGTAGATGTTGATTAGGTGTGAGTCACTGCCCTACTTAATGCTCTAACCTCAGAAAGAAAAGGTGGTAGCAATTCTGTCAAAAGTCCAACAGTGTTCTCTTTGAGTGATAGGAAGGGTATGCTATCTTTTTTTTTAACCTTCTATATTGAGGACTATTTATCATTTTAAAGGGTGATTTTATAGTCCGTCAGTCCTCTTTCCAAGCAATTCTACTTCTGGGAAACTGCTCTAAGAAAAAAAATGCTGAAATGTAGAAAAAAAAAAAAACTTTAGAGATCAGAGTATTCAACTGTGCATTGTGAAAATAGTGCATCATTGAAACATAAATGTGACACCATGTGGAAATGGCTGCATGAATTATGGGGCTTCATACAATGGGGATAACGTGACATTACAACACTATTACAGTGGTAGTTACAAAGGGTTTAGTAACAAAGAAGATGCTTATGTTGTGGTGGCAAATGAAAAAGGACCCGTGTGCAAGTTCAAGGTCAGAAGTAACTTGCCTGGCCTGGAGGGTGAGCATCTGCAACCTCTCTGTTTAGAGCAGAGAGCAAGATTAGTGGGCAGGCATCACTGATCTCACAGAAACCCTGGAATACAGGGAACATTGCTTTACCAGTTCCTCTGTACTGACAGCAGGAGGTACAGTCCACACTGGAGGAGACTCATACCATGGCCTGCTTCAACTCTCCTCCATTTGTTGTTGGGGAAACACAGCCCTCAAGAGAACAAAGGACTTGTCTGAAGCCACATAGTAAGACAGCAGCAGAGCAGGAGACCCAAACACAGTGACCTTGCCCCCGCATGTCATGGGGCATTATTCACCCTCACCAGGGGTGGGCCAGGAAGGGAGAGAGGGTAGGCAGGACTCTGTGTGAATCTCAAGGTGGAGCCAAAGAATGATTCCACATTATTATTCGGTCTTCATTGAGACAGCAGCAGCAGCGCAGTGATGAGGAAATATGGTTCTCTCAGTCCCCCAGGGGTTTTGAGGAAAGAGGCATCCGGAAGGAAGAGGCTGGTATCCTAGGCAAGAGTCACATTAGCTCCAAGTCCATACATGTGACTGGCTGCCGGCGTTGAGTAAAGGAAGGGAAAGAACATAAACATACACACTTCACTGGGGACTTAAATCCAAGTCCCAGTGTAAAATTCTGGGAGTCTGAGAGCCTTCAGCTTTCTGCTCTATGCTTTGTTATGTAAAATTGGAAACCAGAGGAAGAGTGAAGGCCCTGTCTCCTTTGCCACCTCCCAGAAGAGCTGTTTGTGGGGCATCTGTTTCCTGCAGGAGATGTTGAGACTCTGAGGGCTTTGGAGGCCTATGCCCCCTAGAGCATATGACCTGGCACCTGCTGGGGCTGCATTCCAGTGGGAGGAGGAGGGCGAGGAGAGAAGCAAGCAAGGAGGTTTAGATGGTGCCCTTTAGGACTGACCATTTCTTTTAAACCAGAGACCAAAGGGAGAAGACAACCTGGATGAGATCCAGAGGCTCATGGAATCCAAAATTGAGCCCTGGATGGAGAGTTTAGATGACCTAGTTTTAATTCCAATTCCAACAGCTGTTTAAACCCCAGTTCCAAAAGGAACATACAACTGCTGTGTGTGCCAGAATCCCTGGAAAGGTCTTGATCTGGGACCTGGCATGTAGCGAGTGCGTACTTAATGAAAGCTATTATGCAAAGGGTGTGGGCTCAAGAAATGAGCTCATATTGCTTACACATCAAGCCTGACATCACTGCCTTCCCCCTCCTTTTTTTTTTTTTTTTTTTTTTTTGGTACCAGGGATTGAACCCAGGGGCAATTAACAACTGAGCCACATCCCCAACTCCTTTTTGTACTTTATTTTGAGACAGGGTCTCACTGAGTTGCTTAAGGCCCCTCACTAAGTTGCTGAGGCTGGCTTTGAACTCATGATCCTCCTGCCTCAGCCTCCAGAGGTACTGGGATTACAGGCTTGTGCCATTGTGCCAGGCTTTTATTGAGTAAGCTATTTAAAACCTCTCTGTGCTTTAGTTTCCACATGGGAAAATAGGAAAAATAATAGCACCTCCGTTGCAGGGTAACATTAGATTTGATAAAGTACTAGTATTTACTAGTTAGTTCTCAGGCAAAGTGATGTCAGTAAATGACCCATTAGTTATGTTCGCTTGATTGTGCTGGTGGACCACATGAGGCATTGCAGCCTGCTGTAAAGACTTGGGCTTTTATACTGCATTAACCAGAGGCCACTTGAGCAGAGGAGAGACAGGATCTGACCTGTTAAGAGGATCACCCTTGCTATTGTGTGAAAAATGGGAGGATTAGAGGTGGGATGGAAGGAGGTCCAAGCTCAAGATGATATCAATGGAAGGCTAAAAAAGACGGTGGTGTATTTTGAAGGTGGAGACAGCGGATTAGCGATAGGTATGAGAGGACAAGGAATAATAGAGACACTAATGGGGACACCAGTGGTCTTGCCTGAGCACTTCTTTTAACTGCTCTGTGTAGAAAATGTGCTTTTTTTTTTCCCCTGTGGGTCATTTTTCGATGGACATTGAAGTTAGACTGCTCCACAGAAATATTTTTGAAGCTTTCCATGACTGTTTTCTTCTTTTTTGAAGTGGGAGTTATAATAGTAGCAACTCCAAAGGTTGTTGATAGCACTGTAACAATTCATACCAGCACTTAGCACTGTCTCTGGGAAACAATGCTAACAATTTTGACTTGTGAGAAGCTTGGCCTATCCTAGCTATACTGACCCTTACTTTGGGTATCGTCTAGGTGCTCTCTGATGGGGTTTGACCTGAACCGACACTGGTTAGATCCTTCTCCATGGGCCCACCCGACCCTGCATGGAGTGAAGCAGCTCATCATCCAGATGTACAATGACCCAGTGAGTAACTGAATGCTCTCAGCAGCTCCTGGCCTCATGGCATGATCTGGGAAAGGGAGGTGTATTGGGAGGGTCCACTGCGAGCTTCAAATTCGGAATACACATTCAAAACCAAGGAAGGACTAGGTCTGCTCTTCTCTGAATTTGGCAGACCCAAGTACCTTCTTCCAATTCCTTCTTCCTCACCCCTCACAAATACTATATTTGGTTATGGTGGTCTTATGGAATGAAGGAAAACACTGGAGCATGTCCATATTCCTCAGAGTGCCTTGGTTACAAGCTAAAGAAATGCAACTTGAACTCGTGTAAGCAAAATAGAGAATCTGTTAGAAGATTACCAGGGTTATGTCATGTAACTGAAGCCTCTAGTCTGGCCTCCTCCACACCTAGGGGAAATGACTGTCAAGTGTCACCTCCACTGGGTTCTGACTCCCACGCACTACAGAGACTTGCTTTCATTTTCCTGTTCCAGTTCCAAAAGGACTGTGATTGGCCTGGCTTGGAGGACATGTCCACCTCCAAAGTACAGCACTCTGCCCAAGAGGCAAATATATGTAAAGACAGGATGGCTCCATGGGACCCACACAGTTGAACTAGGAACATGGGGT